CCTCCCTTCCTTTTTCTTTAGATTTTTGTCAAGCTCTGGGGAAACCAGGAAATTCAGGCAGTCCAAATAAGTAAAAAGAGGGTTCCTTGGTGGTCTCTGAGCTTGCTTGTTTCCTTGCAGACATTTCATTACCCAACTAGGTAACATCATCAGGCAACCGTAAGGAGTGCTGTTTGCTGTCAGTTTATATTCTGGTGGCTTGCCTGTCTGCATGGGTGGGGATGGTCTTAAGAGTTTCTTTCGTTGGGCTGTTACTAATGGCTCTTTGGCAGTTCCTTGATTGGGGTATCATTGACTTGGCTGCTGAGTGTAAAGATTTATTGCAAAAGCTTAAGCTCTCTACAAGAACCTGACCAACTAACGGTCAAAGGGAATGAGCAGGGGATAAGAAAGGCATTCAAGGTTGGCTGGACTTCGATCTCTTGTGGGCACACAGGGATCCTTGACTTAGCGCATCCTCAAAAAGGCGAAATCTATCAATAGGATGAATAGCAGATGTATCAATAATCCAAGCAGGCAACCGTCACTGTCAATGATGCTGCCTTTGAACCAACCCAGAATTGTCTCAGTGTTTCAACCACGATGGGTTGAAGGCTCAGGATTTGTCTCCTTAATAGCTACGCTTCTTTCTGCTTATCTCTTTGCTCCTCTTAGTTTACAAAAAAAATCAGACTTGTTTTATCTTGGAAGCATTACCCTTGGGAAAACGTTAAGAAGAAAACATACGCCTAGACTCTGTTAAAATAAGCAACACATTAAGCTCAGATTACAGCTGCTGCAGTATATGCTACCTATAGCTAACATCTAAAAGGGGTGGAATACCCCCTTCCTTTCCCAGGAAAGTAGCATGCACTAGTGTGCTTCTCATCTCTTACTTCATCTCTTAGTGGTCTCCCATTATTTGAGGGTCTGCCACAAAAAAGAAGGGGTCAATCTATTCTCCAAAGCAGTGGTTGCCAACTGGCCCACTGGTGGTCCGTGGTCCCTGGCCCACCCCTCGC